GCACAATTTTTATTTGTGTATTTTTCTTATTTATTTTGATTTGTAATTATTGTGTTGCGGTATCTATGATGAGTAATTTATCTAAATTTATTTTTCTTATTTATTTTGATTTGTAATTATTGTGTTGGTATCTATGATGAGTAATTTATCGGTATTTATTTTTTTTATTTATTTTGATTTGTAACTATTGAGGTGGTATTTATAAAAGGGAAATAATTTTGGGTTTGAAAACTATTTCATGTATATTTTGCTTATTTATTTCGATTTGTAAATTTTATTGTTTTGTTGGAATGAATATAGTGTAATGATTTTTGGTTGTGAAATTATTATGTATGTATTTTGCTTATTTATTTTCAGTGTAAAATTATTTGTGGGACAATCCATTTGGATTTTACAAATATATTTTATTTTATTTTCTTTGCTAAAGATTTTTTGTTAGATTACATAAGTAATGTTAATTGTTTGATTTGCAATTACTTTTGGTTTAAAATTCTCGAATTGCAATATTAATATTCTTCAGTTTTTGAAACTTAATTTGCAATCCATTACTTTTATAAAAAGTTTCAATGAGTTTAATATTAACTGAGTGTCGTATGGGCACTAAATGTAAATGTTAAAGTATATGTTAGACAATAATGCATTATAGGTAGATAACTGTGTAAACTAGTAGACTTTAAAATAACTGACAATTTAGTTTGGCAGTAAAATGAACTTATTTTAATTTTTTTTTCTCTTTAAATTGTTTATTTTGCTTTCTAAAATTGATGATGGACAGTTTAAATGAAATTTAGATTGTACTTTTACAAGGGCACTCACATGGAGAGTTAATGATGTTGTAACTAATAATGCATATATGGAGATTACATTTGAGGAGTAGCACTATCCTTGGAGGATGGGAGTGTGTCCAATTGGCCACAGATTTGTTTACTGCCTATTTTGCACTGTGGGTCATATGGGGTGATTTGTGTCTTGGCAGGTACTGCGGATTCGCGGACACATTATACGACTGTAGGTCGGGGAGTCAGGTCATGACTCCTTTTCACAACCATGGATAAGTCTTTGTGGAGACAGTCCATGACGCCCACTGTTATAAATCACGGTGTCGTTGGTTAAACGGCTTGGGAGTGTATACAGTGGCGTCTTACTTGCACAGTAAGTGAAGTAAGGTGTAATTGGGTCCCGGACGATTTGAGTGTCCACCCAAATTATTATTTATATCATTACCCATATGATTTGAAGGTGTAATGAGTAGTGACGTATTTGTGTCAAGGGCTGATACCATTTCTACCCATTAGGGAGGAGCTTACCCATTGAATGTATATACCCATTAAATATGTGCCAGATAGTTTGTCCTTAGGTGATTGACCCAAAAGTACATGACGTATTATTTTTTTTTAGGTAACTAAATATTGACGATAAAAATTTTTAAAAAAATGACTGTACATGATGGCAGGCCATGCTTTGCTGATACTTGACTTTGTCAGGAAGTATCAGTTCAGAGGAAGGGTGAATGTCACAACCCTATCAAGTACAGTCAGTGTACCACACCGTAAGGTGTGCGCCCAGGGTTGACACAGAGGTCAGGGCCGTCACTGGTCAAGTCCGTTCTGTGACGCGAAACCAGCGCTCAGGATAAAGCAAGAAAGCCTGAACTGTGTTGTGGACAAACACGATGACTGCTTTTGGGACTGAGCTGGTGAACGGGGTCAAGAGACAGGAGGGAGAGAGAAGAGGACATTCGGTGTGCGTCGGTCAGGAAGAGAGGACGTTTAGCAAGACAGTTGTGTTATAGTATTAGAGTTAGGATATATCTGTTAGTGACTGGATAGTTTATGTTATAGTATTAAAGTTAGGATATATTTTCTGTTAGTGACTGGATAGTTTATGTACAGTTTTGTGTTAGGATAGGATAGTTCTTGTGTAGAGTATTTATGTCAATGTGCTGTGAGAGAGTGGCTAACCTGGACACTCTGACCCTGCACTAGGACAGAGACTGTGACAGTTTGATTGGGTCAGCGTGGCGATAGAAGAGAGCGTATCCTGCCGGATTGTGGTTTGTACACCAGAACATTGCCTGTCGCACGTACTGGGGACGGGGCGATTGTAAAGCCCGTTCAGCCAGAGGGTCCAGGCAATAGGTGGCCACACGGCGGGAAGTCAACTGTCTATGTATTACCTGTACTTCCAATAAAGATTGTCGTGTGTGCTCTGTGTGCGTTCGGGTTCAGTGTGTGTTGTAGGTTAGTCTGTCTGTCATAGGCCTAGTTAGCGAGCCACGGACCGGCAAGGTCATACCAGAGGTTTGTGACAATGTAGAATGGTCTGTGTGTAGACATGAGATATCTGTATGTAGAATGGTGTGTGTGTAGACATGAGATATCTGTATGTAGAATGGTCTGTGTGTAGACATGAGATATCTGTATGTAGAATGGTGTGTGTGTAGACATGAGATATCTGTATGTAGAATGGTGTGTGTGTAGACATGAGGTATCTGTATGTAGAATGGTCTGTGTGTAGACATGAGATATTTGTATGTAGAATGGTCTGTGTGTAGACATGAGATATCTGTATGTAGAATGGTGTGTGTGTAGACATGAGATACCTGTGTGTAGACAGCAGATACCTGTGTAGACATGAGATATCTGTGTGTAGAATGGTTTTTGTGTAGACATGAGATATCTGTATGTAGAATGGTCTGTGTGTATACATGAGATATCTGTATGTAGAATGGTTTGTGTATAGACATGAGATATCTGTATGTAGAATGGTCTGTGTGTAGACATGAGATATCTGTATGTAGAATGGTCTGTGTGTAGACATGAGATATCTGTATGTAGAATGGTGTGTGTGTAGACATGAGATACCTGTATGTAGAATGGTCTGTGTGTAGACATGAGATATCTGTGTGTAGAATGGTCTGTGTGTAGACATGAGATATCTGTATGTAGAATGGTCTGTTTGTAGACATGAGATATCTGTAGGTAGAATGGTCTGTGTGTAGACAGGAGATACCTGTGTGTAGACAGCAGATACCTGTGTAGACATGAGATGTCTGTATGTAGAATGGTCTGTGTGTAGACATGAGATACCTGTGTGTAGACAGCAGGTACCTGTGTAGACATGAGATATCTGTGTGTAGAATGGTTTTTGTGTATACATGAGATATATGTATGTAGAATAGTCTGTGTGTAGACATGAGATATCTGTGTGTAGTCACGAGATATCTGTGTGTAGACAGGAGATACCTGTGTGTAGACAGGAGATATCTGTATGCAGACATGAGATCATGAGATCAATCAATCAGGTGCCGTCTCCACAATGAAGGTTGGCTGCAATGGATCTCCAACAAGCCCTGTCTCTTGCCCTTGATGTACACTCACTCACACTGCTGTTCGTCCATCTCTTTATGTTATTCTCCCACTTGTAACGCTGTCTGCTTTTTGCACGCCTACCTTGAACCTTTCCCTCTAGGATGATATTTACAATACTGTTATGAATTTTAATGTGGCCAAAATATTTCACTTGTCTCTTTTTTATTTCACCTAGCAACTCTCTTTTCATTCCCAATTTCCTCAATACCTCATGAGATACCTGTGTGTAAACATTAGATATCTGTGTGTAAACAGGAGATACCTGTGTGTAGACAGGAGATATCTGTGCGTAGACATGAAATCATGAGATACCTGTGTATAAACATTAGATATCTGTATGTAAACAGGAGATACCTGTGTGTAGACAAGAGATATCTGTGTATAAACATTAGATATCTGTATGTAAACAGGAGATACCTGTGTGTAGACAGGAGATATCTAATCATAGACATGACATCATGAGATACCTGTGTGTAAACATGAGATACCTGTGTGTAAACATTAGATACCTGTGTGTAAACAGGAGATACCTGTGTGTAAACATTAGATATCTGTGTGTAAACAGGAGATTCCTGTGTGTAGACAGGAGATATCTGTGCGTAGACATGAGATATCTGTGTGTAAACAGGAGATATCTGTGTGTAAACAGGAGATATCTGTGTGTAAACATGAGATATCTGTGTGTAAACAGGAGATATCTGTGCGTAGACATGAGATATCTGTGTGTAAACAGGAGATATCTGTGTGTAAACAGGAGATATCTGTGCGTAGACATGAGATATCTGTGTGTAAACGGGAGATATCTGTGTGTAAACAGGAGATATCTGTGTGTAAACATGAGATATCTGTGTGTAAACATGAGATATCTGTGTGTAGAACAGGAGATATCTGTGTGTAAACAGGAGATATCTGTGTGTAAACGGGAGATATCTGTGTGTAAACATGAGATATCTGTGTGTAAACGGGAGATATCTGTGTGTAAACAGGAGATATCTGTGTGTAGAACAGGAGATATCTGTGTGTAAACAGGAGATTTCTGTGTCTAAACAGGAGATATCTGTGTGTAGACAGGAGATATCTGTACGTAGACATGAGATATCTGTGTGTAAACGGGAGATATCTGTGTGTAAACAGGAGATATCTGTGTGTAAACATGAGATATCTGTGTGTAAACATGAGATATCTGTGTGTAGAACAGGAGATATCTGTGTGTAAACAGGAGATATCTGTGTGTAAACGGGAGATATCTGTGTGTAAACATGAGATATCTGTGTGTAAACGGGAGATATCTGTGTGTAAACAGGAGATATCTGTGTGTAGAACAGGAGATATCTGTGTGTAAACAGGAGATTTCTGTGTCTAAACAGGAGATATCTGTGTGTAGACAGGAGATATCTGTACGTAGACATGAAATCATGAGATACCTGTGTGTAAACAGGAGATATCTGTGTGTAAACATGAGATATCTGTGTGTAAACAGGTGACATCTGTATGTAATGTTATGTTATTTTGTGGGCCCTAGATATGAATATGTTGACATAAGGTCCTTTTCCTGGTCAGATATCTGCATGCACATGTCCTTGTTAAGAAGAGATATCATGGAGAAGACAGGACACACAAATGCCTCACCTGCTCTTGCTGATGCGGCTGAGGCGATCCTGCAGTCTCAGGTTGATCTCCTCTTGTTGCTGTCTGTCAGCAACCAGCAAGCTACAAACATAAACATGCCCCTTACACACATTGTAACAAGTCTTTGACCTCATTATAACAAATCCTTGGCATACAGTATTTGTAACTTGTCCTACACACACACACACATGCACACACATGCACACGCAAGTGCACGCACTCGTGCACACACGCACACACACACACACACATTCAAACACACACACACTTCATTGAAATATACAATCCTGCAGGATGTTGAAACATATGAACACACATATTTATTGTAACATGTATTTGACCAAAACGCACACAGTGTAACATATTCTTGACCCAAACACAAACACACTGTACCATTTCCTCGACAGACAGACGGACAGACACACACACACATACACATACACACACACCCACACACATTGTAACATATCCTTGACACACACACTGAAACTAGACTAGACACAAACATATATATTGAAACAAATCCTTGACTCGTGCACACACACACACACACACACACACACACACACACACACACACACACACACACACACAAGCTCAGACACACACATTGTAACAAATATTTGACAAACACACATATTATAACATGTTTTTGACACAGACTCACACACATTGTAACATATGCTTGACACACTCACAATCACACGCATTGTAACATATCCGTGACACACACACACACATAAACACATTGTAACATTTCATTGACATACACAAACCTATTTCCACATATCCTTGACACACACAAACACACATTGTACCATTTCCTTGAAACATGCACAAACACACATACATACACCCACATTGTAACTTTGCCTTGACACACACACAGGGAAACATTGTAACATTTCACTGACACACACACACACACACACACACACACACACACACACACACACACACAAACCTATTGCCATACATCCTTGACACACACAAAACACGCACTGTAACTTGTCCTTGACACACAAACACATTGTAACATTTCTTTGTCACACATTTTAACATTTCCTTGACACACACACACACACACCACACACACACACACACACACACACAACCCTACATTGTAACATATCCTACACACACACACACACACACAACCCTAGATTGTAACATATCCTACACACACACACACAACCCTACATTGTAATATATCCTACACACACACACACACACAACTCTACATTGTAACATATCCTAAAAACACACATTGTAACATGTCTTTGACACACACACACACAAATTGTAACATATATTTGATACACACACATGGACGCGCGCGCATGCATGCACGCACGCACACACGCACACACACATGCATGCGCACACACACACACATACAATATTACATGTCATTGATGCACACACATATTCTTGACACACACACACACACACACACACACACTGTAACATGTCTTTGACACACACACACTGTAACATATCCTTGCCACAAACTGACACATACACATTGCAACATATCTTTGACACATACACACACATGTACAACATAACACACACATACACACACAAACACACACACTGAAACATTTCCTTGCCACAAACTGACACATACACATTGCAACATATCTTTGACACATACACACACATGTACAACATAACACACACATACACACACAAACACACACACTGTAACATATCCTTGCCACAAACTGACACATACACATTGCAACATATCTTTGACACATACACACACATGTACAACATAACACACACACACACACACACACACACACAAACACTGTAACATATCCTTGCCACAAACTGACACATACACACACATGTACAACATAACACACACACACACACACACACAGACACAAACACACACACTGTCACATGTTTTGGAGAGACACAGTTTCATGTTTATGCTAGCACACTCTGGGGTAATGGGAAATGAATGAGTGGATTAGCTTGCTGGCAGTGCCATGGTAGCACAGGGAAAGCAATGGACTGCGCTAATGTTCTCAAAGAAGCAGGATGAATAAAGGCTTTAGGAGAGGATGCTAAACTGGCAACCTTGACAAGACTACAAGAACTTCATGTCAACAAAAATAGTGTCCCCAGACACGAAAACTAGACAGGGAGCCATACAAGAACAGTAAACCAACATAGAACAGTTTCATCAGTAGTCACATACTGAGAGATTTATTGAAGATGGGACTTACAGACTTGTCTAATGTGTGATAGGATGGTCCGTCCAATAACTAGCTAATTATACATTTCTAACTGTAAAATCTGACACAACTAACTGTAACATCTGACAGAACTCTAACTGTAAGATCGAACACTACTCTAAATGTAAAATCTTACTCACCTCTAACTCTAACATCTGACACAACTGTAACAGTAACATCTGACACAACTAAAAATGTAAGATCTGCAACAAGTCTAACTGTTAAAATTTGACCCAATTTAACAGTAATATCAGAAACAAGTCTAACTGTTAACATCTGACACAATCTAACTGTAATATCAGAAACAAGTCTAATTGTTAACATCTGACACAACCTAACTGTAATATCAGAAACAAGTCTAACTGTTAACATCTGACACAATCTGACTGTAATATCAGAAACTAAATGTTAACAATTGACACAATCTAACTGTAATATCGGAAACAAGTCTAACTGTTAACATTTGATACAATCTAACTGTAATGTCAGACACAAGTCTAACTGTTAACATATGACACAATCTAACTGTTATATCTGACATAACTCTATTTCTATCAGGTCATGAACATCTCACTCTTCAAAATCTGACTCAACTGAATCTGCCAACTATTCTGGGTATGTGTGTAAACTTGCTGCTGTAAATCTGCCTACTACTCTTGGTATGTGTGTAAACTTGCTGTTGTAAATCTGCCTACTACTCTGGATATGTGTGTAAACTTGCTGTTGTAAATCTGCCTACTACTCTGGATATGTGTGTAAACTTGCTGATGGAAATCTGCCTACTACTCTGGGTGTGGGTGTAAACTAGCTGCTGTAAATCTGCCTACTACTCTGGGTATGTGTGTAAACTTGCTGCTGTAAATCTGCCTACTACTCTGGATATGTGTGTAAACTTGCTGATGTAAATCTGCCTACTACTCTGGATATGTGTGTAAACTTGCTGCTGTAAATCTGCCTACTACTCTGGATATGTGTGTAAACTTGCTGATGTAAATCTGCCTACTACTCTGGGTGTGGGTGTAAACTAGCTGCTGTAAATCTGCCTACTACTCTGGGTATGTGTGTAAACTTGCTGTTGTAAATCTGCCTACTACTCTGGATATGTGTGTAAACTTGCTGTTGTAAATCTGCCTACTACTCTGGATAAGTGTGTAAACTTGCTGATGTAAATCTGCCTACTACTCTGGGTGTGGGTGTAAACTAGCTGCTGTAAATCTGCCTACTACTCTGGGTATGTGCGTAAACTTGCTGTTGTAAATCTGCCTACTGCTCTGGATATGTGTGTAAACTTGCTGCTGTAAATCTGCCTACTACTCTGGATATGTGTGTAAACTTGCTGATGTAAATCTGCCTACTACTCTGGGTGTGGATGTAAACTAGCTGCTGTAAATCTGCTTACTACTCTGGGTATGTGTGTAAACTTGCTGCTGTAAATCTGCCTACTACTCTGGATATGTGTGTAAACTAGCTGCTGTAAATCTGCCTACTACTCTGGATATGTGTGTAAACTTGCTGATGTAAATCTGCCTACTACTCTGAGTATGTGTGTAAACTTGCTGATGTAAATCTGCCTACTACTCGGAGTATGTGTGTAAACTTGCTGCTGTAAATCTGCCTACTACTCTGGATATGTGTGTAAACTAGCTGCTGTAAATCTGCCTACTACTCTTGATATGTGTGTAAACTTGCTGCTGTAAATCTGCCTACTACTCTTGATATGTGTGTAAACTTGCTGATGTCAATCTGCCTACTACTCTTGATATGTGTGTAAACTTGCTGCTGTAAATCTGCCTACTACTCTTGATATGTGTGTAAACTAGCTGCTGTAAATCTGCCTACTACTCTGAGTATGTGTGTAAACTTGCTGCTGTAAATCAAATGCTCCCCTCACCTACCCATGGTCGATACCCGAGGAGTTCATCAGAAAGTTTGAGTCAATCAGTGCCAGGCTCTGTAAGACATCAAAAGAGATATCAGTTGCATATTAACTACATCACAATAACATATAATCAGTTTATTAGGTAAAAATAAACAACATATAAAATAAAATACATGACAACTGTCAGGGACCTAATCTTCTCTACTTATTTTATATGGCTCGCTAGGTAGGCCAGCTGACAGACTCAACTACCCAGACACACTTAAGACGACACTCCTGCTGAGTACAAATGTACAATGAACATTAGACGTACAACACTTCAACTGGGCTAAGCAGCTTCCATCCGAAACTGCCTTGGCGATGACAGCTTTACAATCACTAGTCACCCCAGGCCAGCTCCCATGGATCTAGGGGAGCACGACTCTTAGCTAGCAGTGTCTCAGTGCCAATCAATCCGCCGTCGATTGCCAAACGGGACTTCAGCGATACACGAAAGGTGTATGGCCTAAGCGTGCCCGGGCAGTGTTATCGCCATTACAAGGCGCGTCACCTCAATTAACTACTCAAACAAATACTGCATGGAATGTCTACTACACAAAGAACCTTAACTCTCTATACTATCTAGACGAAACATTAAATACAAATACAGCCTATCATAGACACTAAATACGAATATCCTATTTCAACCCAACCGTCGCTACCCTAACCGTTACCTCGTCGAAATGTTTTCGTCCTGTCTCTTTCTGTCGACCAGCACACAACCGTCCTACACAACTGTCCTCACACAACTCTCCTCAAACCCGCTTGGACAAAGCCTTTTGTATTTCCACCGAGTTCATGGCTCAATCCGCAGCACTCCGTGTCAGCTGAGTGAATTCGACCTGGCCTCTAAACTGGGCACGGCTTATTGCGTGGACGAGCTGTCTGTTCACATACTGAGTTGTACTGAAGGTCAACTCGTACAAACGTGATGATTCACATCTGTTGTGCTTCCCATAGCCGAACTGGCCTCTGACAACAACAACATCTCAACTAACTACAACTTATAAACTACATATAAACAGCTCTTATTTTCTCTTTCCTCACTCACTCACACTCACACACACACACACACTCACACATGCACACGCACCCACACACACACATTTACAGAGTACAAGCACTTACAGTGAGACTGAGCACCTTAGATACCATGGATGTTGTCTTCAGGTTAGCAAATGGTTTGTCCACTCCCCAGGTTTCCAGAAACTTGGTCACTCTGGCAGATTTGCGCATGCCACTCATGTGATACCTCGTCTTGCCAAGTTTTCTATTTGTCTGTCCGGAAAAAAACAGACAAATGCTATCATGTCAAATCACATTTCTTGACAATAATTTATAAACAAATGGAAAATTTAATGAAACTATGATAAATGTAATGAGACAATGGCAAATGTAATGACAGGATTTGAAACACAATATCACCTAGCCATTAATGGACCACAGATTTGACCTAAGACATGACATTATGTAGCCACTGACAAACTAAAGACATGATATTATGTAGCCACTGACAAACTAAAGACATGACATTATGTAGCCACTGACAAACTAAAGACATGACATTATGTAGCCACTGACAAACTAAAGACATGACATTATGTAGCCACTGACAAACTAAAGACATGACATTATTAGCCACTGACAAACTAAAGACATGACATTATGTAGCCACTGACAAACTAAAGACATGACATTATGTAGCCACTGACAAACTAAAGACATGACATTTTGTAGCCACTGACAAACTAAAGACATGACATTATACCTTTCCGACCAGTCTGTATATCAGAGCTGGCCTTTGCTGCCAATGTGGGCCTGACTGCTTCATCAAAGGCACATCTTGACTCAACTGGAAGGAAGGGCTTGAGAACAGAGGCATGGGACAATATGCATTGGAGCAGCTATATCGAGCTTTATCATCTGGACACAAGGGGACCACAACATAGAAGAATCATATGTGGCTACAACTAGTCATCTGGTCTTGGTATACCTTACCTGGCGACGTTCAACAGGCACAACCAGGTAAGTTTCCACTTTGTTCTCTGCAAGATATGAATCTCTTTCATGACCTTTGCCCTCCTCAACCTCATACTCTCCATCCAGGAAATTTAATGTTTGCTTGGAAATATGAACTCTCCTGTAAAATACATGACAGAAAGATCAAACAAAATTGTGTTGAATGTTGTATCATGTTGTATTTTATGTTGTATCATTTTGTACAGTATGTTATATAATGTTGTTTCTGTGTTGTGTCATGGTTTTTGTGTGTTGTATAATTGTTGCATTGTATATTTTTATCACGCTGTGTTGGATATTGTATCCTGTTGTTTTGTATGTTGTATCATATTGCATTTTATGTAATATCATGTTGTATTGAATGATGTATCATGTCCTATTGTATTTTGTATAATGGTGTATTGTAGGTTTATCATGTTGTAGTGTATGTTTTATCAGGTCAGTGGAGGTGTAGATGTGTTCGTAGTGTGTGGTGTGTGTGTGTAGTGTATGATGTGTGTAGTATATGATATGTGTAATGTTGTGTAATGCATGTGTAGTGTGTGTAGTGTGTGTAATGTGTGTAGTGTGTAATGTGTGTAAAGTTGGTGATGTGTGTAGTATGTGGTTTGTGTGTGTAATATGTGGTGTTTGTATGTGTAGAATGTGTGTAATGTGTGGTTTATGTTGTGTGTGATGTGTGTTGGATATGTGTGTAAAGTGTATGAGATGTGTGTGTGGCATAATGTGTGTATGTGCTGTTTGTGATGTGTGTGCATGCAGTGTGATGTGCGTGTGTGTGTGTGAGAGAGAGAGAGAGAGAGATGGATGTGTAGTGTGGGATGTGTGTGTATTGTGTGTAGTGTGTGATATGTGTCTGAAGTATGTAATGAATGAGTGATATTTGTTGTGCATGTGGTGTTAGTGTGGCATGTGTTTAGTGTGTTTTTTGCATATGGTTATGTGATATGTGTATAGTGTGTGGTTTGTGTGTGTATTGTGTGATGTTTGTGTGGTATGTGACATGTGTGTGACTTGTATGTAGTGTGTGGTGTAGGTGTACTGTGTGTGTGATATGTGTGTTGCATGTGGTGTGTGCAGTGTGTGTGTGTGTAGTGTGTGATGTGTTTTTGATATGTGTGATATGTGTGGTGTATGTAGTTTGTGATGTAGTGTAATGTGTGTATCTGTAGTGTGTGATGTGTGCTGGATGTGAGTCTATTGTGTGATATGTGTGTATGGCATAATGTGTGTGTGTATTATGTGATGTGTGTGTGGTCTGAGTGTGGTCTCTGTGTGCAGTGTGTGGTGTGTGTGTGAGGTGGTGTGTAGTGTGTGATGTGTGATGAATGTGTGATGTTTATAGTGTGTGTGATGTTTGTGGTGTGTGTGGTTTGCAGTGTTTGTGCATGTATTGTGTGAGGTGTGAGAATGAAAAAATGGTGGACAGGGACCCTAGCACCCCTGCAGACTACATGTGGTTAGCTATAGGGACATCATCAGACTAAACATCCTACTCTCACTTACCCAGGCATTCCTCCAGACTCCATGTGGTTGGCTATAGGGACATCATCAGACCAAATATCCTATTGTCACTTACCCTGGCACCCGTCCAGATTCCTTGAAGTTGGCTATAGGGACATCACCAGACTAAACATCCTACTGTCACGTACCCAGGCACCCATCCAGATTCCTTCCTTGAAGTTGGCTATAGAGACATCATCATACTAAACATCCTACTGTCACGTACCCAGGCATCCCTACAGATTCCTTGAAGTTGGCTAAAGTGACATCATCAGACCAAACATCCTACTGTCACTTACTCAGGCACCCCTCCAGACTCCATGTGGTTGGCTATAGGGACATCATCAGACTAAACATCCTACTGTCACTTACCCTGGCATCTCTCCAGATTCCATGAAGTTAGCTATAAGGACGTCATCAGACCAAACATCCTACTGTCATGTACCCAGGCATACCTCCAGACTCCATGTGTTTAGCTATAGGGACATCATCAGACCAAACATCCTACTGTCACGTACCCCAGGCTCCCTCTAGATTCCATGTGGTTGGCTATAGGGACATCATCAGACCAAACATCCTACTATCACTTACCCAGGCATCCCTCCAGATTCCTCAAAGTTGGCTAAAGGGACATCATCAGACCAAACATCCTACTGTCACTTACCCAGGCATCCCTCCAGATTCCTTGGTTAGCTATAGGGACATCATCAGACTAAACATCCTTCTGTCACTTACCCAGGCATCCCTCCAGATTCCTTCAAGTTGGCTAAAGGGACATCATCAGACCAAACATCCTACTGTCACTTACCCTGGCTTCCCTCCAGATTCCTTTGTTAGCTATAGGGACATCATCAGACTAAACATCCTACTGTCACTTACCCTGGCATCCCTCCAGACTCCTTAAAGTTGGCTATAGGGACATCATCAGACCAAACGTCCTACTGTCACGTACCCAGGCATCCCTCCAGACTCCTTAAAGTTGGCTATAGGGACATCATCAGACCAAACATCCTACTGTCACTTACCCTGGCACCCCTCCAGATTCCATGAAGTTAGCTATAGGGACATCATCAGACTAAACATCCTACTCTCACTTACCCAGGCATCCCTCCAGACTCCATGTGGTTGGCTATAGGGACATCATCAGACCAAATATCCTACTGTCACTTACCCAGGCACCCCTCCAGACTCCATGAAGTTAGCTATAGGGACATCATCAGACTAAACATCCTACTGTCACTTACCCAGGCACTCCTCCAGACTCAATGTGGTTGGCTATAGTGACATCATCAGATCAAACATCCTACTGTCACTTACCTAGGCATCCCTCCAGATTCCTTGAAGTAAGCTATAAGGACATCATCAGACTAAACATCCTGCTGCCACTTACCCTGGCACCCCTCCAGACTCCATGTGGTTGGCTATAGTGACATCATCTGACCAAACATCATACTGCCATTTCCGGAGTCCCAGAACCCCACAGAGGACAGACCCTGTGTGTACACCAATGCGCATGTCCACATCCACACCAGTTGCCTCTCTCACTTCCCTGAAAGTGATTTCAAGACAAAGTTCATTTCAGTAAATTTTTCTCTCTGTCACTGGGAACAAGTTCACTATTTCTGTCCCAACATGTTCATGTCAATCAGTTGATCATGTTTATGTCAGTCAGTCATGTTTATGTCAACCATTCAGTCATGTTCAGGTCAGTAAATCAAGTTAATGTCAGCCAATCAGTCATGTTCATATCAATCACTTTACATCAATTAGTCAATCATGTTACTGTCAGTCAGTCAACCATGTTTATGTCAGTCAGTCAATCATATTCATGTCAGTCAGTCAGTCAGTCATCTTGATGTCAGTCATGTTCATGTCAGTCAGTCAATCATGTTCATGTCAGTCAATCATGTTCATGTCAGTCAGTCAATCATGTTCATGTCAGTCAGTCAATCATGTTCATGTCAGTCAATCATGTTCATGTCAGTCAGTCAATCATGTTCATGTCAGTCAGTCAATCATGTTTATGTCAGCCAGTCATGTTCATGTCAGTCAGTCAATCATGTTCATGACAGCCAGTCAATCATGTTCATGTCAGTCAATCATGTTCATGTCAGTCAGTCAATCATGTTCGTGTCAGTCAGTCAATCATGTTCATGTCAGTAAGCCAGTCATGTTTATGTCAGTCAGTCAATCATGTTCATGTCAGCCAGCCAGTCATATTCATGTCAGTCAGTCAATCATGTTCATGACAGCCAGTCAATCATGTTCATGTCAGTCAGTCAATCATGTTCATGACAGCCAGTCAATCATGTTTATGTCAGTCAGTCAGTCATGTTCATGTCAGTCAGTCTATCATGTTCATGTCAATCAGTCATGTTCATGTCAGCCAGTCAATCATGTTCATGTCAGCCAGTCAATCATGTTCAGGTTCACATCATCAGGAAACTATCCTGTGTAGTCACATCAATGGTCAGTGACTCTCTGACTTGTCTCCATTTCTACCAGGGTCTCGACAATATTCATCAGACAAACTTTGACAACAAGTCTGACCTCCAGCAAAGTTGCCTGTACAAAGACAAATAGGCATGGTTTACCAAAGCAGACACAGCAACCTTGACAGAATTTCCCAGCCAAGAAGGAAATTAATTAAAAAGAAAGAAATGTATCAAATATGAACCAGTCAGGACGTGGACAAAATGAGGAAGCATCACCTGATGGCGTCCAGCATGCGGAGACCCATGCGGACACAGTTAAGAGCGTGATTCTTGTCTGGGATTGGCACTCCTGAAACACAGTAGTAGCAGTCCCCCAAGATCTTGATCCTCATACAGTTGCTCTTCTGTGGACACAGAACATGAGGAGATATGTTAGACAACCTGTCTGCAACAGTAGAGACATGCCAGACAACCCATCTGCAACAATAGAGAATGTCAGACAATCTGTCTGCAACAATAGAGACATAACAGACAACCTGTCTGCAACAACAGAGACATAACAGACAACCTGTCTGCAACACTAGAGACATAACAGACAACCTGTCTGCAACAATAACGAATGTCAGACAATCTGTCTGCAACAATAGAGACATAACAGACAATCTGTCTGCAACAATAGAGACATAACAGACAACCTGTCTGCAACAACAGAGATATAACAGACAACCTGTCTGCAATACTAGAGACATAACAGACAACCTGTCTGCAACAATAGAGAATGTCAGACAATCTGTCTGCAACAATAGAGACATAACAGACAACCTGTCTGCAACACTAGAGACATAACAGACAACCTGTCTGCAGTTATGTCTTGAAGAAAAGAAGTGTGTCAGCAAGAAATATGTCCAGGTTGTATCAAGTCCAGGGATGGATTGTTCTTGCAGAAATGTTCCAGTGAACCATCTGCATACACAATCTAGACTTTCTTAGTTCTGTTGCCATTTTCTTTATGTACCAATGCTGAAATAGTTAACCAGCTCATCAAATATCTGCAGAAGTTGGATGTGTCGGCCGACAGGCACAGATATCACAGCCAAGCTGTAAAGGGGCACAACACAATTACATCTTTGGATAAATGCAGAAAAAGAAGACATGTACCAAAGTATGTACTGATGTGTGGACTGATGTATGGACTGATGTGTGGACTGATGTGTGGACTGATGTGTGGACTGATGTGTGGACTGATGTGTGGATTGATGTGTGGGCTGATGTGTGTGGACTGATGTATGGACTGATGTGTGGATTGATGTGTGGACTGATGTGTGGACTGATGTGTGGACTGATGTATGTACTGATGTGTGGACTGATGTATGTACTGATGTGTCGACTGATGTATAGACAGATGTATGTGCTGATATGTGGACTGATGCATGGACTGATGTGTGGACTGATGTGTGGACTGATGTATGGGCTGATGTGTGGATTGATGTGTGGACTGATGTGTGGACTGATGTATGGGCTGATGTGTGGACTGATGTATGTGCTGATGTGTGGACTGGTATGTGGACTGATGTATAGACTGATGTGTGGACTGATGTGTGGACTGATGTGTGGCCTGATGTGTGGATTGATGTGTGGGCTGATGTGTGTGGACTGATGTATAGACTGATGTGTGGACTGATGTGTGGACTGATGTGTTGACTGATGTGTGGACTGATGTGTGGACTGATGTGTAGATTGATGTGTTCACTGATGTGTGTAGACTGATGTATGGACTGATGTGTAGACTGATGTGTGGACTGATGTATGGACTGATGTGTGGACTGATATATGGGCTGATGTGTGGACTGATGTGTGGACTGATGTGTGGACTGATGTATGGACTGATGTGTGGACTGATGTGAGGACTGATGTGTGAACTGATGTGTGGATTGATGTGTAGACTGATGTGTGTGGACTGATATATGGACTTATGTGTGGATTGATATGTGGACGGATGTATGGACTGATGTATAGACAGATGTATGTACTGATGTGTGGACTGATGTGTGGACCGATGTGTGGACTGATGTATAGACAGATGTGTTGACTGATGTATAGACAGATGTGTGGACTGATGTGTGGACTGATGTGTGGACTTATGTTTGGACTGATGTGTGGACTGATGTGTGGATTGATTTGTGGGCTGATGTGTGTGGACTGATGTGTGGGCTGATGTGTGTGGACTGATGTGTGGGCTGATGTGTGGATTGATTTGTGGGCTGATGTGTGTGGACTGATGTATGGACTGATGTGTGGACTGATGTGTGGGCTTATGTATGGACATGTGTGGACTGATGTGTGGACTGATGTGTGGACTGATGTGTGGATTGATGTGTGGGTTGATGAGTGTGGACTGATGTATGGACTGATGTGTGGATTGATGTGTGGACTGATGTGTGGACTGATGTGTGGACTGATTTATGGACTGATGTGTGGACTGATGTGTGGACTGATGTGTGGATTGATGTGTGGGCTGATGTGTGTGGACTGATGTATGGACTGATGTGTGGATTGATGTGTGGACTGATGTATGGACTGATGTATAGACAGATGTATGTTCTGATGTGTGGACTGATGTGTGGACTGATATTGGACAGATGTAAGGAGGGATGTGTGGACTGATATTGGACAGATGTAAGGAGTGATGTGTGAACTGATGTGTGGACTGAGGTTATAAAAGGACAGTCTGAGGTTAAGTAAGGACAGTCTGAGGTTATGTAAAAACGGTTTGAGGTTATGAAAGGACTGTCTGAGGTTATATAAGGCAGTCTGGGGTTATGTAAGGGCAATCTGAGGTTATATAAGGCAGTCTGGGGTTATGTAAGGGCAATCTGAGGTTATATAAGGCAGTCTGGGGTTATGTAAGGGCAATCTGAGGTTATATAAGGCAGTCTGGGGTTATGTAAGGGCAATCTGAGGTTATATAAGGGCAGTCAGCAGTTGTATAAGGGCAGTCTAAGGTTATGTAACGGCAGTCTGAGGTTATGAAAGGACTGCCTGAGTTATGTAAGGGCAGTCAGTGAGTTATGTAAGGACAGCCTGGGGTTATGTAAGGACAGTTTGAGGTTATGAAAGGACTTCTGCAGTTATGTAAGGGCAGTCTGGGGTTATATAAGGACAGTCTGAGGTTATGTAAGGGCAGTCTGAGGTTATGTAAGGGCAGTCTGAAGTTATGTAAGGGCAGTCTTAGATTAAGTAAGGGCAGTCTGAGGTTATGTAAGATTAGTCAGCAGTTATGTAAGGGCAGTCTGAGGTTATGCAAGCAGTGTCTGAGGTGTTTAAGGACAGTCAGGTTATATACGAGAGTCTCAGGTTATGAACGGGCAATCTTAGGTAATGTAAGGTCAGTCTAAGGTTATGTAAGCATAGTGTGGAGTTATGTAAAGACAGTCTGAGGTTATGTAAGGGCAGTGATAGGTAATGTAAGGGCAGTCTAAGGTTATGTAAATGCAGTCTGGAGTTATGTAAGGACAGTATGAGGTTATGTAAGGGCAGTCTGAGGCAATTGTAAAGGCTGTTTAAGGTTATGTAAGGGCAGTCTGAGGTTATGTAAGGGCAGTCTGAGGTTATGTAAGGGCAGTCTGAGGTTATGTAAGGGCAGTCTGAGGTTATGAAAGGACTGCCTGAGGTTATGTTAGGGCAGTCTGAGGTTATGTAAGGGCAGTCTATTGTGTTTTAAGGACAGTCTAGGGTTATGTAAGGACAGTCTTGGGTTATGTTAGGGCATTATTAGGTTATTTAATTACAGTATTAGATTATTTAAGGGCAGTTTGAGGTTATGTGAGGCCAGTCTGAGGTTACATAAGGGTAGTCTAAGCTTATGTAAGGTAAGTTTGAGGTCAAAATTGTTGAGGTAATGAAGAAATCTTACCGTGGCAAGCTGGTCAAAGCGACCAAATAATTCATTCAACATTTTCACAAGCTCGGCAGCTGTACATTCCGAGGCCAACGGAGTAAAGTTGACGATGTCTGCATACAGGATGCTGAAATATACAATCATACAGGATGTTTCAATGTATAATCATTCAGGATGCTGAAATATACAATCATACAGGATGTTTCAATATATAATCATTCAGGATGTTGAAATATACAAATATACAGGATGGTTAAATTACAATCATTCAGGATGTTGAAATATACAAATATACAGGATGTTTAAATGTACAATCATACACTATGTTGAAATATGCAATCATGCAGGATGTTGAAATGTACAATCGTAAGGGATGTTGACATTTTCAGCCATACATGATGTTTAAATGTACAATCATACAGGATGTTGAAATATACAATCATATGTGATGCTGAAAAATAACAATCATGCAGAATGTTGAAATGTGCAATCATACATTGAGTTCAAATATACAAGCATACAGGATGTTGAAATATACAGTCATACAGGATGTTGAAATATACAGTCACACAGGATGTTTAAATATACAATCATATTCATTCATTCAGTAGCATGTCCCTCGCGGAACCTCGCTGCCATAACAACCCTCCGGAAAACCTTCCTATCCTGAGCAAGATGTCCTGCGTCTGATACACCCATCTGGAGATCATCTGCCACATCCTGCACCCATCTTCTCCTTGGCCTTCCTCTTCCTCTCTTCCCAGGCATATACCCCTCCATTATTGTTCTCTCTAGACTTCCATGACGTTTCAAGTGACCAAAATATTTCAATTTTCTTTGTTTTATTGTCTTTACTAGCCAACCCTCTTCAATATTCAGCTCTTGAAGTATGGATGCATTTGTTCTTTTCTTTACCCAAGATATTCTTAGAACCTGTCTGTAACATTTATATTCAAATGCATTTATGCGCTGTTCCGCTTGTTTAGTAAGTGTCCAGGTCTCACAGGCGTATGTTGCAATGGGAAAGATGCATGCTCTTAAAAATCTGACCTTTGTAATTCTATCTGTACAATTCCATAATTTATTCAGTTGTTTTAGTCTTTGAAGAGCAATTGATAGTCGCCGTTTAATTTCTTTCATTGTGTCACCATTGTTGGTAACCAGTGACCCAAGATATTCGAAATTTTCCACCACTTCATATAGGATGTTCAAATGTTCAATCATACAGGATGTTGAAATGTATTATCAAACAGGATGTTGAAATGTACAGTCATACAGGATGTTGAAATATACAATCATATGTGATGCTGAAATACAACAATCATATGGCATGTTGAAATATACAGCCATAAATGATCCTGTAAGATGCAGTAAATGAAACAGGATATATTGTTATTAAACATAGTTGATATCTAACACAATGCTACAAGGCATGGCAGGCAGACAGACTGACAGCCGACAAAGTGGTACATTACAGGCGGACAGACCTCCAACTTACACCTTAGACAGAATGGGAATAAAGCATGGACTTTAGTTAAAAACCTCTCCGGAGAAAGTAGAAGGGTGAACCCAAAACCAATGACAGATGGGAGTAAGAAAATCACTGAAGACAAGAAGAAAGCAGAACATTTCAATCATTATTTTGCCTCAGTTAACAGAGCAGGTAAGCTGTCAGAACTCAATTGAACACAGCTCTCTCAGTTGAAGAAACAAGAGAGAGCTCCAACAGCCAGCGACTCCCTTTTTGAAAATGAATTTAGCATGGATGAATTAGAGCAAGCCCTGAAGAAATTAAAACCTAGAAAATCTCCAGGCCCAGATAAGATCCACAACGAAATGCTGCTACATCTTGGCCGGTCTGGGAGAGAAGTAGTTCTCAGGCTTATTAATAAAACTTGGAGGTCAAGCAAACTTCCAAAGGCATGGAGGAATGCATATATCGTCCCCATTCTTAAAACCAAAAAGCCTCTAGATGACCCCAAAAGCTACCGCCCGATATCCTTAACATCATGCTTGGGCAAAGTTGCAGAAAGAATGATAAACAGGCGCTTATATTGGTTCCTTGAGAGTTCTGGTGTTCTATGCCATGAACAGGCAGGCTTCAGAACCAACAGCTGCACAGAAGACCAGCTGTTCAGACTGACACAAAGAATACATGATGGCTTCCAGAATAAGAAACACACAGTGGCAGTCTTTGTCGACCTCCAGCAGGCCTATGACAGAGTATGGAGAAAAGGTCTCCTGATGAAGATGAAGAGCATAGGAATACATGGCAGATTGTATAACTGGGTTAAATACTTCCTGATAGATAGAACAATCCAGACTAAGATGCACAACGCAATCTCTTCTAAAGAAGTCTTGGAGGAGGGCTTGCCACAAGGCTCATCATTGAGCTGTACACTATTCCTAATCTTTATCAATGACCTGCCAGAACAAATCAAGGCCGAAAAAGCCTTGTACGCTGATGACCTAGCATTATGGCAGAGTCATGAAAATGTGGAAAGTGGAGCCCAAAGACTGAATGGAGACCTTAGAAGACTGCATGAGTACTACCAAAGATGGAAACTCAAGGTTAACTGTGCAAAGACGGTCTACACAATCTTTACCAAAAGCCACCAAGTAGCAAGGAAGAATATTAACCTGAGGTTAGACAAACACCAAGTGATGAAAGAAGAGTGTCACATATCACTCCTGTCGCGTGCCTAATGTAAGGATTCCTCCTTCAGAACCAACAGCACTCAGAGATAATTATGTTGAGTCGTTTGGCTCGTATTGGTCTAAGGGATTCCCCGTGGCCAATATACGATCAACTTATCTCTGGAGTAGGGCAACTCAAGTATTGGCACTACAAAATATATCAGTATATAAATACAATATTTCTAGGCACACTTGGCTGGACACCCCCACTACTTACTAAAGAAAGCCCCCAGGTTATGATAGTTCATTATCATAACCATGTTAACACATATAATGAAGATACACACATACACAACTGCTAAACACTTAAAAGGGTGGAATAGAGACACCTAAGTCAGCCATGAAAATGAATGCATGTAATCAATATAAAATAGATATATAAAAGTGAGACAATTGCCAGATCTCCTAGGCTAGATCTCAGGATATCCTGTCCAAATCACAAAGATACTACACAGACAGAAGGTCTTGGAGATGACATCTTGTCATCATTGGACAACCTAGGAGCTGTGAGGAATAAAGCACATAAGGTATCAAACTGCACTTAGCCTCTTTCTGTCTATGATGCCTCCCTCAGCTCCTGATGATTCGACTGTCTTTGACTCTGGTAATTCTGCTCGACTGGATCAGGTAGTGAAAGAGTACTTCACCATAGAAGACCCAGCAACTGTACCGGTATTTAGCAAGTCTCTATCACCAGTAAGGACACACAATGTCTTTGAGCCACACTATGCTCTAGCACTGGTAGCTGTTTGAGGTACCATCTCCCACATGTTGGAGATGTCAGGAACCTTCACAGGTGTTAGCTGGTGGGTAACCGTTTGTTTCTGGGGGTTTGATGGTTGGTGGATGTTGGTTGGACTGTGAATCTTCTGCCAGCTCTTCAGAAAAGATCCATCCCAAGCATATGTAAAAACTGAGACATTCCAGATTGCCTTGAAAAGTGAAATTTATACAGGCACAGATTAACACATCTGGACGCTTGAGAAGCTGGCAAGGAAAATAGCGTCACTTAGACACTTCAGGCGTTGGTACAAAAGAAGTCCCTTGTATACTGGGGCAAGGAGTAAATCGGTTTCCAAGAAACCTCAAATAACTCCCTAAATATATCTCTAAGAGATATACATTTAAAAGTGGAGTTTAGTTAAAGTAACCAGAAAAGGCAGACATAATAATGTTGTCCAATACAGGCCTATATATATAGATATAAGGGACTATATATTTCTGGGCGAGTCCAAGTTTGAATTTTGTGCAGATTACAGGTAAGACAGGTTATCAGCCTTACAGACCGATGCGTAATGGCTATCATTTCACGACAAAGAGCATCCCACATACCTTGGAGTCACACTTGACCGGCAGCTCAGCCTCAAGAACCATATTGAAAACATCAGGAATAAGGCATTGAGGCGGTTACAGTTATTAAAGAGACTTGCAGGTACATCATGGGGATCAGACAAGGAAACTCTGAGGGGCTTATATCTAGGATATGTTCGCTCTGTGATAGAGTACAACAACTCACTGCTTACAACTTGCTCCAAAACTAACCTAGAGACTCTTGACAGAGTACAAAATAATGCCCTCCGATTAATCTGCGGAGCTATGCAGTCTACACCAACTGCTGCATGTGAAATCCATACAAATGTGGAACCAATCGGGTTGCGGAGAGAAAAAGCCACTTTAGAAATTTATGAAAGATGCGCTAGGAAAAATCGTAACCATCCTAATAGACATCTTGTAGAAAACTGGGAATACAAACAAAGAATAAAGCACAAATCGGTTTTACACCGCGTTAATGAAATTCAGGACAGATACCACCTCCCAGAAAGACGTCAAGGAATTCAGAATGTTGCAAGAAACCTACCACCACATGCTCGCTTTAAAGCTACAGAAGTCCGAACTAAATTGGTAGGCGAGGAAACCAAACAGTCGACCCAATCGCTCTTATGAACTCATCACTAAAGACCGTTGATTCTTACCCCCAAGAATGGATACATGTCTATACTGATGGATCAGCATTTAAAGCTACCATTAAAGCAGGTTACGGAATCTACATAGGTTATCCCGATGGATCTGTTGAAGAGATTTTTGATGCATGCGGGGAATTCTGTTCAAACTATGAAGCTGAAATAATTGCACTGGAAACAGCAGTATACCACCTAAAGACTGTAATGGATGTTTACCCTTCAAAGGTCCAAAATATTGTCATCTTCACAGATTCAATGTCTGCCCTTCAAGCTCTGGAGGGCAGTGAACGCTGCAGAACTGACATAGCCAAGATAATCCTGGATGCTGATCAGCTTATTACCTCATACAACATCAGAATAGTGATGCAGTGGATTCCAGGTCAATCCGGCACACCAGGTAATGACAGAGCTGACAGATTGGCAAAGAAAGGAGCAACACAAGAACAACCACCTACAGCGACAACCCTCCAGACAGCAAAAACACTAATAAGAGCTATAAACAAAGAGACTTGGTTGAACAGATGGGCCATGGGAGACACTGGAAGAGAGGTTTATAGACATATGTCTGGCCCTGATCCTAATGACAGCATTGACCATCTAACAAAAAGGGACCAGGCCACCATCTTCAGACTTAGAACGCAACATACTCCACTCAATGGACACCTAAACAGAATACAGCCACAACACTCCCCAGAGTGCCAGCTATGTAACTACCCGTACGAAACTGTTGAACACCATCTCTTTGAGTGCCCAAAACTCAGTGAGACAAGAAGAACGCTACTCCCTCCGAGACCAGACAAGTGGAACACCTTGTACGGAGGAAAAGAACAGCTTGTGAAAACATGCAAATTCCACTACATGGCATTGGGCCAAAGGGCGAAAGCTCATGCGCCGCTGGATCGATAAAAACAACAGGCAGACAGACATACAGACAGCCAACAGTGGTACAAGATGTGACAGACAGACATACACACATACAGCCAACACAGTGGCACAAGACGTGGCAGTCAGACAGACATACAGACAGCCGACAAAGTGGTACAAGACGTGACAGGCAGACAGACTGACAGTCGACAAAGTGGTACGTGACAGGCAGACAGACATACACACAGCCAACACAGTGGTACAAGACGTGGCAGGCAGACAGACATACAGACAGCCGACAAAATGGTACAAGACGTGACAGGCAGACAGACTGTCAGTCGACAAAGTGGTACGTGACAGGCAGACAGATATACACACAGCCAAAACAGTGGTAAAAGACGTGACAGACAGGCAGGCTGACAAATAACACAATAGAAAAATACGTGACTAGCAGACAAAAAGAAAAACAGCCAACTCAATGCTAAAAGGCCTAAGAGACAGACAGACACACAGACAGCTAACACAGTTGGAGAAGACATGACAGGCAGACAGACTGACATACAACACAGCGTACAAAACATGACAGGCAGACAGACTGACAGACAACACAGTGATACAAGACATGACGGCAGACTGACAGACAATACAATGGTTCATGACGGGACAGACTGACAGACAATACAATGGTACAAAAGATGACAGGCAGACAGATAGATGGACAACCAACACAATCGTACAAGACGTGACAGGCAGATAGATAGATGGACAACCAACACAATCGTACAAGACGTGATAGGCAGACAGGCAGACAACCAACACAATGGTACAAGACGTGACGGGCAGACAGACATACAGACAGCCAACACAATGGTAAAAGATCATGACAGACTGAGTGACGGACACAGACAGACAAGCATACAGACTGACAGACAGATGTACCTGACATGATCATATCTCTCCACATAAAGATCGTGGAAGAGGCTGGGCCGAGGCTCTCTCATGTTCTCCTGAAGGTCTCTCTTCATCTCTGTCACGAGGTTACTGGGCAGACAACTGACCAGCAGCTCCTCCTGCATGGACACCAGGGGGTAGACATTACACACTCACACACACACACACACACACACACACACTCACACACTCACACACTCACACACTCACACACTCACACAGGAGCTGGCACACATATCCCACACACACACACACACACACACACACACACACACACACTCACACACTCACACACTCACACAGGAGCTGGCACACATATCCCACACACACACACACACACACACACACACTCACACACTCACACAGGAGCTGGCACACATATCCCACACACACACACACACACACACACACACACACACACACACAGAAAGTGGCGCGCATCTCTCATATTCACACACACACACACACACACTAGGTTGCTATACTGTATCGCTCCCTGTACTGATGGTAATATTGTATCGCTCCCTGTACTGCTGCCAATATTGTATCCCTCCCTGTACTGCTGGCAATATTGTATCGCTCCCTGTACTGCTGGCAATATTGTATCGCTCCCTGTACTCCTGGCAATGTATCACTCCCTGTACTGCTGGCAATATTGTATCGCTCCCTGTACTGCTGGCAGTATTGTATCGCTCCCTGTACTGCTGGCAATATTGTAACACTCCCTGTACTGCTGGCAATGTATCACTCCCTGTACTGCTGGCAATATTGTATCGCTCCCTGTGCTGCTGGCAATATTGTATCGCTCCCTGTACTGCTGGCAATGTATCACTCCCTGTACTACTTGCAATATATCACTCCCTGTACTGCTGGCAATATTGTATCGCTCCCTGTACTGCTGGCAATGTATCACTCCCTGTACTGCTTGCAATATTGTATCGCTCCCTGTACTGCTGGCAGTATTGTATCGCTCCCTGTACTGCTGGCAATATTGTAACACTCCCTGTACTGCTGGCAATGTATCACTCCCTGTACTGCTGGCAATATTGTATCGCTCCCTGTGCTGCTGGCAATATTGTATCGCTCCCTGTACTGCTGGCAATATTGTATCGCTCCCTGTACTGCTGGCAATATTGTATCGCTCCCTGTACTGCTGGCAATGTATCGCTCCCTGTACTGCCGGCAATGTATCACTCCCTGTACTGCTTGCAATATTGTATCGCTCCCTGTACTGCTGGCAGTATTGTATCGCTCCCTGTACTGCTGGCAATATTGTAACACTCCCTGTACTGCTGGCAATGTATCACTCCCTGTACTGCTGGCAATATTGTATCGCTCCCTGTGCTGCTGGCAATATTGTATCGCTCCTTGTACTGCTGGCAATATTGTATCGCTCCCTGTACTGCTGGCAATATTGTATCGCTCCCTGTACTGCTGGCAATGTATCGCTCCCTGTACTGCCGGCAATGTAACACTCTCCAGCACCATGTCTCTAGCACTATTGTCTCCAGCACTAGTGTCTCCAGCACCATTGTCTCCAGCACCATTGTCTCCAGCACCATTGTCTGCAGCACTATTGTCTCCAGCAAGATTGTCTGCAGCACCATTGTCTGCAGCAACATTGTCTACAGCACCATTGTCTCCAGCACTATTGTCTCCAGCACCATTGCCTCCAGCACCATTGTCTCCAGCACCATTGTCTCCAGCACCATTGTCTCCAGCACCATTGTCTCCAGCACTATTGTCTCCAGCACCATTGTCTGCAGCACTATTGTCTCCAGCTCCATTGTCTCCAGCACCATTGTCTCCAGCACCATTGTCTCCAGCACTATTGTCTCCAGCACCATTGTCTCCAGCACCATTGTCTCCAGCACCATTGTCTGCAGCACTATTGTCTCCAGCACCATTGTCTCCAGCACCAATGTCTCCAGCACTATTGTCTGCAGAACCATTTTCTCCAGCACCAATGTCTCCAGCTCCATTGTCTGCAGCACTATTGTCGCCAGCACTATTGTCTCCAGCACCATTGTTTCCAGCACCATTGTCTCCAGCACTATTGTCTCCAGCACTATTGTCTCCAGCACCATTGTCTGCAGCACTATTGTCTCTAGCACCATTGTCTCCAGCACCAATGTCTCCAGCACTATTGTCTGCAGCACCATTGTCTCCAGCACCAATGTCTCCAGCTCTATTGTCTCCAGCACTATTGTCTCCAGCACCATTGTCTCCAGCTCCATTGTCTCCAGCACCATTGTCTGTATGCACACTCACACACTCTCACATAGACACAGACACGCACACAAACACAGACATACGCGCACGCAAACACACGCACACCTTATGGTACCTGCTGTTGCTTCTCCTTCTCCAGCTTGATCATGGAATCAACCGAGTTACGGACCTCCAGAAATGCTCGTTGGTGAGCCATGTCTGAGAGACACTTGTGGCTCAACCCCATGACATTAGCCGCAGACAAGATGCAGAAGGTGCTCACCAGCTGCAACAGAAAACATGCATGTGTGGGAGATGGTGTATCTGATAGGGCTCTCTTGCTTCCATTGTGTGGGAGGTGGTATTGCTAGTTGAGCTCACTGGCTTCCTATGTGGGGTAGATGGTATTGCTAGTTGAGCTCAATGGCTTTCTATGTGGGGTAGATGGTATTGCTAGTTGATCTCACTGGCTTCCTATGTGGGGTAGATGGTATTGCTAGTTGAGCTCAATGGCTTCCTATGTGGGGTAGATGGTATTGCTAGTTGAGCTCACTGGCTTCCTATGTGGGGTAGATGGTATTGCTAGTTGAGCTCACTGGCTTCCTGTGTGGGGTAGATGGTATTGCTAGTTTAGCTCACTGGCTTCTTATGTGGGGTAGATGGTATTGCTAGTTGATCTCACTGGATTCCTATGTGGGGTAGATGGTATTGCTAGTTGATCTCACTGGCTTCTTATGTGGGGTAGATGGTATTGCTAGTTGATCTCACTGGATTCCTATGTGGGGTAGATGGTATTGCTAGTTGATCTCGCTGGATTCCTATGTGGGGTAGATGGTATTGCTAGTTGATCTCACTGGATTCCTATGTGGGGTAGATGGTATTGCTAGTTTATCTCACTGGATTCCTATGTGGGGTAGATGGTATTGCTAGTTGAGCTCACTGGCTTCCTATGTGGGGTAGATGGTATTGCTAGTTGATCTCACTGGATTCCTATGTGGGGTAGATGGTATTACTAGTTGAGCTCACTGGCTTCCTATGTGGGGTAGATGGTATTGCTAGTTGATCTCACTGGCTTCCTATGTGGGGTAGATGGTATTGCTAGTTGATCTCACTGGCTTCCTATGTGGGGTAGATGGTTTTGCTAGTGGAGCTCACTGGCTTCCTATGTGGGGTAGATGGTATTGCTAGTTGATCTCACTGGCTTCCTATGTGGGGTAGATGGTATTGCTAGTTGATCTCACTGGCTTCCTATGTGGGGTAGATGGTATTGCTAGTTGAGCTCACTGGCTTCCTATGTGGGGTAGATGGTATTGCTAGTTGATCTCACTGGCTTCCTATGTGGGGTAGATGGTATTGCTAGTTTAGCTCACTGGCTTCCTATGTGGGGTAGATGGTATTGCTAGTTGATCTCACTGGCTTCCTATGTGGGGTAGATGGTTTTGCTAGTTGATCTCACTGGCTTCCTATGTGGGGTAGATGGTATTGCTAGTGGAGCTCACTGGCTTCCTATGTGGGGTAGATGGTATTGCTAGTTGATCTCACTGGCTTTAATATGTGGGGTAGATGGTATTGCTAGTTGATCTCACTGGCTTCCTATGTGGGGTAGATGGTATTGCTAGTTAAGCTCACTGGCTTCCTATGTGGGGTAGATGGTATTGCTAGTTGATCTCACTGGCTTCCTATGTGGGGTAGATGGTATTGCTAGTTGATCTCACTGGCTTCCTATGTGGGGTAGATGGTATTGCTAGTGGAGCTCACTGGCTTCCTATGTGGGGTAGATGGTATTGCTAGTTGATCTCACTGGCTTCCTATGTGGGGTAGATGGTATTGCTAGTTGATCTCACTGGCTTCCTATGTGGGGTGGATGGTATTGCTAGTTGAGCTCACTGGCTTCCTATGTGGGGTAGATGGTATTGCTAGTTGATCTCACTGGCTTCCTATTTGGGGTAGATGGTATTGCTAGTTGAGCTCACTGGCTTCCTATGTGGGGTAGATGGTATTGCTAGTTTATCTCACTGGCTTCCTATGTGGGGTAGATGGCATTGCTAGTTGATCTCACTGGCTTCCTATGTGGGGTAGATGGTATTGCTAGTGGAGCTCACTGGCTTCCTATGTGGGGTAGATGGCATTGCTAGTTGATCTCACTGGCTTCCTATGTGGGGTAGATGGTATTGCTAGTTGATCTCACTGGCTTCCTATGTGGGGTAGATGGTATTGCTAGTTGATCTCACTGGCTTCCTATGTGGGGTAGATGGTATTGCTAGTTGATCTCACTGGCTTCCTATGTGGGGTAGATGGTATTGCTAGTTGATCTCACTGGCTTCCTATGTGGGGTAGATGGTATTGCTAGTTGAGCTCACTTGCTTCCTATGTGGGGTAGATGGTATTGCTAGTTGAGCTCACTTGTCTTCCTATGTGGGGTAAATGGTATTGCTAGTGGAGCTACCCTCATCTAAGCTCACATGGACTGGTCAAACTCTTGGCAGTTTCCATAAGAATCCTTCTCCTCCTCCTCCTCCTCCTCCTTCTCCTCCTCCTTCTCCTTCTCCTCCTTCTCCTTCTCATCCTCCTCCTCCTCCTTCCCCTCCTTCTCCTCCTCCTCCTCCTCCTTCTCCTTCTCCTTCTTCTTCTCCTCCTCCTTCTTCTTCTCCTCCTTCTCCTCCTTCTCCTCCTCCTCCTCCTCCTTTTTCTTCTTCTTCTCCTCCTCCCCCTTCTTCTTCTTCTTCTCCTCCTTTTTCTTTTTCTTCTCCTCCTCCTCCTTCTTCTTTTTCTTCTTCTTTTTCTTCTTCTTCTTCTTCTTCTTCTTCTTCTTCTTCTTCTTCTTCTTCTTCTTCTTCTTCTTCTTCTTCTTCTTCTTCTTCTTCTTCTTCTTCTTCTTCTTCTTCTTCTTCTTCTTTTTCTTCTTTTTCTTCTTTTTCTTCTTCTTCTTTTGGTGTCCTTCCGCTTATGCCGCAAAGCATCTCCGAGAGGAGATATATGTAGTTTCTTGTCTTTCGCTGGTTACGTAGTTTCATCGTGGATCGCCAAGCAAGTGATACCAAACACGCCTGAAATACTCAATAAACATCTGTGGCACTGACCTAATAGGCTAAAATACTCGATAAACGTCTGTGGCAATGACCTAATAGACTAAAATACTCGATAAACGTCTTTGGCACTGTCCGTATAGGCTGAAATACTCAATGAACGTCTGTGGCACTCACCTAATAAGCTAAAATACTCGATAAACGTCTGTGGCAATGACCTAATAGGCTAAAATACTCAAAAAACGTCTGTGGCACTGACCTAATAGGTTAAAATACTCAATAAACGTCTGTGGCACTGACCAACAGCAGGAGATAGTTAATTAACGTCTGTGGCACTGACCTAAAAGGCTAAAATACTCAATAAAAATCTGTGGCACTGACCTAATAGGTTAAAATACTCAATAAACGTCTGTGGCATTGACCTAACAGCAGGAGATACCTAATTAACGTCTGTGGCATTGACCTAACAGCAGGAGATACCTAATTAACGTCTGTGGCACTGACCTAACAGCCGGAGATACTTAATTAACGTCTGTGGCACTGACCTAACAGCAGGAGATACTTTATTAACGTCTGTATCACTTACCTAATAGGTTAAAATACTTAATAAACGTCTGTGACATTGACCTAACAGCCATAGATACTCAATGAACGTCTGTGACACTGACCTAACAGCCGGAGATACTCAATGAACGTCTGTGGCACTGACCTAACAGCCGGAGATACTCAATGAACGTCTGTGACACTGACCTAACAGCCGGAGATACTCAATGAACGTCTGTGACACTGACCTAACAGCCGGAGATACTCAATGAACGTCTGTGACACTGACCTAACAGCCGGAGATACTCAATGAACGTCTGTGACACTGACCTAACAGCCGGAGATACTCAATGAACGTCTGTGACACTGACCTAACAGCCTGAGATACTCAATGAACGTCTGTGGCACTGACCTAACAGCCGGAGATACTCAATGAACGTCTGTGGCACTGACCTAACAGCCGGAGATACTCAATGAACGTCTGTGGCACTGACCTAACAGCCGGAGATACTCAATGAACGTCTGTGGCATTGACCTAACAGCCGGAGATACTCAATGAACGTCTGTGGCACTGACCTAACAGCCGGAGATACTCAATGAACGTCTGTGGCACTGACCTAACAGCCTGAGATACTCGGTAAATGTCTGTGGCACTGACCTAACAGCCTGAGATACTAGGTAAATGTCTGTGGCACTGACCTAACAGCCTGAGATACTTGGTAAATGTCTGTGGCACTGACCAAACAGCCTGAGATACTTGGTAAATGTCTGTGGCACTGACCTAACAGTTTGAAATACTCGGTAAATGTCTGTGGCACTGACCTAACAGCCGGAGGTACTTGGTAAATATCTGTGGCACTGACCTAACAGCCTGAGATACTCGGTAAATGTCTGTGGCACTGACCTAACAGCCTGAGAGAACCTGACTGCTGATGACTGTCTGCTGCAGTTAAGATCTCTGATCCTACAGCTTCGTTGCTACGGCTTCCCATGCTCTTGTCAGTTATGTCTTCTGACTGTTATTTTATATTCTTGGTATTATGTTGCCTGCTGTTTTATTCAAGCTCTTACTTCCCTTCTTCCCCACTGCCTGAAGGTGTGATTATCCTGAGATGTTATAAATTCTGATCTGGTTGACAACCCGAATGACAGACAATAGCAACCCTTGTCCTAATTCAAATATAAAATGGGTGGCAGACCTAACATTGATTCCAGATACCCTGTTCAACCTCCAACGAAAGCATGTGTGGCACACCTAAGAGTGATTCACAATTAGCCCCTTCAGCCTCTAAGAATAACATGTGTGGCACACCTAAGAGTGATTCACAATTAGCCCCTTCAGCCTCTAAGAATAACATGTGTGGCACACCTAAGGGTGATTCACAATTAGCCCCTTCAGCCTCTAAGAATAACATGTGTGGCACACCTAAGGGTGATTCACAATTAGCCCCTTCAGCCTCTAAGAATAACATGTGTGGCACACCTAAGGGTGATTCACAATTAGCCCCTTCAGCCTCTAAGAATAACATGTGTGGCACACCTAAGGGTGATTCACAATTAGCCCCTTCAGCCTCTAAGAATAACATGTGTGGCACACCTAAGGGTGATTCACCCTTCACCACCTGCTGTATATCTTCGTTTGTGTCTGTGTGTGTCCTCGTATGTGTTCGTCTGCATGTTTGCCTGTGTATGTTTATGTGTTTTGTCTGCGGGTGTG